TCAGCCATACGCATGGATGGCATGCAAAGGCCTTTTCAAACGCATTGTCTTTCGCAATAAAGCCGTTAACGAGCTGATTAGGTCTTATCGGTGTGGTTTTAGACCAGGTTTAGGGATACGCTCAACCTTGAAAAATTCTGCTCGAATATCGACACTAAACTGTATCGCGCCTAGAGCAACACCAACAGCTCCGTCAGAGCAGATATGCTTCAGCTCAAAATCTTTTTGGTAGACATAAATTGCTACTAAAGACTCTGGAACTCTGATGGAAATTTTGTGGTTGATGAACTCGTCGCCTTGGTTATATATAAATGCCAGACCGAGACATAGCCCAACAAGAAACTGTAAAATGCGAGGGAGAAGAGGAAGAAGAATTATTTTGCATTTTGAGGAACATTACAACTGGCTAGGAGCAGAAGTGACTTTACAGGAGCGTCGCTTGAGAGAGCAGTTGTCTACAAAAACGTGGCGGGACTCTCCGACCCAATGCAAGCCTAGTCGAGATATTAAGATCTGAGCTCAATGATCTAGCGTGGACGTACGTAAGTGGCATCTGCTCCATAATAATAGCGTTACGTTTATAATAACTACTTTCAACCGAAAAAAAACACAAAGCGGGTGGGGTCAAACTGCTGCCAGGCAATTACTATACCAAACTTTGCACTTTAATTACTCCATTACACCAGTAATTTGCGTAATTTTTGCATTGCCTCGAGCCCAGCTGACGTGTGTAAATCAGCTATCGCAATCAATTGACGATATGCATAAGCTTACGTCATGAGAAAATACAACAAAATGCATGCAAATAGAAAAGCAATAACAAACATGAAAAAAGAAAGATTAGCAAAAGGAGAAAAGAGGCCATTGAGGGGAGCAAAAACGTGACGAAACTCCACACAACGAGCGTTATCAAAAAGAGCAAGCGAAGTGGCAGGGAAGAGAGGCCATTAAGTGCAAATTAAAGAGCGAGCAAACAAAAAATAAAATGTTTAAATAAAGCAGAAACAACAAATTAGTAAAACGATTTAAGCGCATAGGCTACACAGCTTCACGGCTAAGGGAAACCTGAAATCGGCGAAGGAAAACTTTTTAAAACTAGCCGGCATGTAACGCAAGCCGATTTACGTGCTAGCGTGACCAAGTGGATGTGGGTAAAACGCAAAGTGAGCTGAAATTAAAGAAAGGGCTACTGGTCATAAGAAAACTTTGCGGCATAAAACCACTATCGCAGTCGGATGGCAGTTAGATGCACAAGACGAGCCGAGTTCAATCAACAGAGTGTGGGCGGGGAAGAAGCTTTGAAGACGGCGTAAGCCTGGGGAGAGAATCGAAGTGCGAGAAGTGAGTGTTTGCAGAGGAGAGGGAAACTTGTAAGATGCCCGCCAGTGTGGTAAAATGCGAAGAGATGCTAGAGCATCTAAAATAATTTGTAGGAAGAGGAGGCTATGGGACGGTAAGTTGGCACAAAGTAACTGCGGTGAGCTGGGGACGTGCACACGTGCTAACAGCTGTAAGCTGCAATGTACAGAGGGAGAGAGAGAGAGAGAAATATAAAGCGCGCTTGAGAGAGAATCTAATTTCTGCAACCAACAAACCAAAAACACAACCTACTGGGTCGTAGGGCGCAAAGCGGTGCAGAAGCGTACAGCAGCAACGTGCGGATGAAATGAAATCGTCTCGGCTGCATAAAACAAGCAAAACAAGTAAACAAAAACGAAACATGTGTGGAGCAAAAGAAAAATCAACAAAGAAAACTAAACTTTGCGAGGCGATGTTACAGCAGCAGCAAAAGCAGCCGTAGGCACCGCAGCACAGAACAATAAATGAGAATTTCTGTTTAGCGCTCAGTTCCAGCTCAGCTGAGGGAGAGCGCGCCGCAGTCGAAATTTTAAATTTGCAAAAAAATTTTCCAACTGCTCGTTGTGAAGAATGTTGGGGGCGCAAGGGATGCGTGGCGCGTCAACATTACAACAGCAGCGCGACGGTAGGGAGCGATACGCGAGCGTTAACAGTAGTGATGTCGCGCTCAATCTTACAGCGAAACTGTTGTTAAGTCAAAGCATTTTTTCGCTTAACTGCCATCCCTAAATTGGCGCGTCAAGCGCCAAACAACTGTCAAAAATCCTCATGCCCATACAATTTGTATGAAGCATCCCACAATAACGCGGCGCTAACGCCGAGCAAATGGAATTTTCATTTTTGACAGGGCGTTACGTGTTGAAGTTGGATGCGGAAGACGGAAAGAAAGAGAAAGGACAAAAAAGTGAAAGAGGAAACGAGAATAAAAACGAGAGGATCTGAGAAAACGTCAAAAATTACGACGCGTTGATTTGGGGATAGCGCGCGCTGACACTCGTCGACAATGGATAACGCAACGCTTAGCGCTCCAATTTAGGGACGGCAGTAAGCTTACAAGTTAAATTAGTTGGTGTTGTTGTTGCGAACGCAGCTGTGACGCAGCTATGTGGTGGGACAAATGTACATGCATGCATACAAACAAATGTTTTGTTGCTTTTGTCGCTACTCATGATTCAATAATACAAGGTTCGATAAACTGACAGTTGTCTCTCTCGCACCGCTCCCTTAGCAGTGGCACCGTGTTGCTTCTTTGCAAATTTACATGGAAACAGTGTAGCTTTGGTGTGAAATAAAAGTATACGATTTTGTGCAATATGTTTATTTGTATATGCATATGAAGCATATTCAACTGATGAAAAGATAAGCATTGGATATTTACATCAATCTCATAGTAGTCTTATTTTAATTTTGAGTCATTTTGCAGTTTTTATACAGCTAAATAGCATATAAATTACGTAATTCACGTAGATATATCAATATTACGTTCAACATTTCGTTTAAAATGCCAGATTTCCTGCAAATACATTAGAATTTACAAAAGGAATTTCACTACTAATTGCCTACTTTGCGTACTTTTCTACTACCATTTTCGCAACAAGGGATTGCATTCTTGCCCTTTCTCTGTCCTTCGTAAATGCAACCTTTTGTAAGGGAGTGTCAAACCGCAGCTGTCAATAATTATCTAACCTTGTATTATTGAATCATGGTCGCTACTAAATTTTTACGAGAACCAGTCATCCAGCCCACGACGACGAGTTTGCCTGCCAGCCGGGAATTTAGTCGTTGGACGAGCCAGCAGGCGATTACTATGCATACACACATATATGTGTGTGTACCCTGCAGGAAATGGGACTAGTTTTTAGCTAACTATTAACTAACTAGCAGTCAACTAGTGGTAACTATTTATTAACTATTTCTTTTGACCGTAACTAACTACTTTTGAAGGGCGATGACCGCAAAATAGTTATCCCTGGTTTCCTCTGCAGAAGATGTCAACTAACTTGTAACTAACTAATGGCGTTTTCTTTTCTACCGAAAAATGTTCCCTACTAAGAAGAAGGCAATGAAAAGGCAACACTTTTTGCAGAAAGGAAACGCCATAATTTTGGACATAAACTATAGAAAAAAAAATGATTTTTCTATATTTTTTTTATTGAACATTACATACATATTTGTAATATGTTGATAAGGTTACATGTTCTTTTGTAGGTGGTCTCACATTTGAATTCCATCAGGCATAACATCAAAATAATAATGTAAAATTTCGATCTTTGTTTTATTTGTCCTGAATTCGAAAATAATCTGCTGAAAGTGCTCAAAAAAAGCGTATTGAAAGTAATTGTTGTATGAGGATATTGAAATGGAAGCTTGTAAAGAAAACAAACTCCCGATAACGTCAGCATGACTCCTGCACGACTTTACAACTAAATTAAAGTTAGTTTTGTCATAGCGAATTAAAAATTAGTTATTTATCGAAATCCCGCAAAAAAGCTAACTATAACTTGATTATTTCAATCAATTGTTTTTTTGCAGGGTATGTACTCAGTACGGCATAGCTCAACCAATTACCTCAGAAAAGGTAATTTATTTATGCGTATGTAGCAACTAACTTCAAATTAATGTATAATCACCTAGCAGCCTCCTTGAGATAAACCAAGTGCTTACACTTTTGATACTCTTGCAAATACATAATTCAATATTAGTTGAAAAATCATATAACTTTAGACAAGTAACTTTGCAAAAGAAATATGTTGACTTGCTTATAGCCAAATGCATTTTAGAGTAGTTGAAGTCAAATGCAGAGTCGGACAATCGACTTGATGCTGGCACACAACTCAAATTGAACATTTGAAAGCAAATCCTGCAATGAAAAATTATCAATTGTTAAAAATAACCAACTTATAGTTAGTTATAGTTAGTGGCGGGATTTCAAAAAATACCTCACTTTTAATTAGCTTTGACAAAACCAACTTAAACTGAGTGGTAAAGTCGTGCAGGAATCATGCAGACGCAATCGGGAGTTTGTTTTCCTTACAAGTTTATATTTAAAAGTCCTCATACAAAAACTATTTTGAAACAATTTTTTTTTCTGCACTTCACAAACCCTTTTTCGAATTCAGGACAAATAAAATGAAGTTCGAAATTTTATGTATATTATCATTTGGATTTATGTCTGACGAAATTCCTATAGTCCTATAGACCACCTACCCACCTACTGCGGAATATGTAAGCAAATAAACAAATATGCAATGTTGAATATATAAATTAAAATGTAATTAAAAATGTAAAAAAATACAAAATAACAAAAAATTAACAAAATGTTTGCTATTGATATTTTATGTCCAAAAGTAGTCAGTTACAAGTTAGTTGACATGTAATGCAAAAGTATCCAGGGGTGACTTTTTGCAACCAGCGCCCCACAAAAATAGTTGGTTTATTTTCGAACAAAATATACAGTTAATAGCTAGCACTAGTGTTCGCGTAAACAGACTAAAGTTAGGTATAAGCTAACGTCACTCCCTGCAGGGTACATAAATCCATGCAAGCACGATGCCATTCATCGCACACGCACACACTCCCACACATCAACTTTCGTATAGAATGTTGTAGTGCTCGCACAGAATGTGGCGCTCATCGTTCGCGCTCCACTCGCTGTCAATTTTAGTGCGCATTTAGCAGTCAAGGCGAACTGTTATGGAAGAATCGAAACAGTTAAAAACGCTAATACGCGTTAATTTCGGGACACGTTAGCAGCAGTAGTAGTTGTGTTTAAATAAGTAAAGATTTATTAAAACAAAAACAAATAACAGCAATAAATCGTTAAAAGAAAAAGTTTTGAATAATATTAAATACTATAACAACACAAAAAAGTGCAATCGATTTTGTGATTTTTTTATTTGCGTTTTATCTAAATGTACGTCGTTGCTCTGCTTGGCAGACAAGAACGCCAGCTGTGTAAGTCTGAGTTAGTTTGTGTTAGTGTTGTGCAATAACAAAAGTGTATGTAGAAGAAAAAACTATTATTAATTTCGATTCATCTTAATGCAGACATTCATCCGTACATACATACATGTGTGTTTGTGTGGGTACTTGTGATGCATACATATGTACATTTGTATGTACTATAAGTGCAACGCATGCAATAGAAAGGGCTCGAAAGCGTAAATCGCCAGCATGGTGTTGTAAAGTGCTTGTAAAGACAGCGATTTTTTTGCTAGAAGTTTTAGAAATTATTTTAGGGGTATTCTCTGAGTCAAGGTGTGTTTAACAAGGTGGTGTTGGGGCGACAGCTGAGTTTTTCGCCGTGAAAAGCATTACGTCAAAATGACGTGTTTGTTGTAATTCATACCAATGACAGTATGGATATCTGCGTATAATTTGTTAAAGTAATTTTTTATTTGCATAGGGCTAACACCACCTTGTTAAATACGCCTTGCTCTGAGTCTTGCAAAGCCCTTGCACGATGCACAAATTGCACAGTTAAAACCGGTTTTCGTATGGGAGAGCTTTGCAAACCGTGAAGCCCATGCACCCCATGCAAGGGCTTTGCAAGACTCAGAGAATACCCCTATTGTGTTTTATTTTTTATTGCATTTTTTATTCCCATGTGCATGCATACATACTTACATGCAAACGTAAAATCGGTGAAGCAGCCGGCGAATTGTGTTTCAGAATTTCGTTATGGAAGAAAATTGTGAAATTGAAAAAAATTGATGCAGCAATGTAATGCACGCAATTCAGTATAACGATTTGCAGCAATAGATAACAACAACAATAAAGTGTTATGAAAAAATTCAAAAATGGGCTTTTATATTTAAAAAAAAAAGTCGTAATTCAGTTCAATACAATTATAGATAAAAAATATTGACTAAAACGTAACGTGTTCATGTTCCATGAAATATAACTACATAATAATAAATAAAAACAACAGCAAGAATGTAATTAGAGCACAAAAATATACAATTTTACTAATATCTAGCGTTCATAATAATACCAGCAATAACAAAAAAAAACGAAGTGAATTCAAGTAAATAAAAGCAACGATAAAGCTTGCGATGCCCAGCGGTGTTGATAAGCACAAAAATAAATAAATATACATATGTATGTATAAAAAAAATTCTCTTGGAAAAAAATTTCTCTTGCAAAAAAATTTACTGATTGCAGTGCTATGCAACACAAAAAGGACATAACAATTTGGTAAATATTAACAACATAATTTAAGATTTCATAAATAAGTGAAAAAAGGTTTGGTACTTCATTGACATTTCCTAAAAAACACAGTGAGAAAATACATAACGAAAACGTGTAACCAAAAAATGTTACCTTAATTGTTTAATTCTATTTGCGGTTGAATTAAAGCTGTTTTAAGTAATTTTTTCCACATATTCTAAGAAAATAAAAATAAAGAGACACGTCCAAAAATGTATAGAAGCATAGCAAAATTTTTCTGAATGCACATAAGTTTTTTGCATGCTATTACTTCGTTGCCACACTGTTGTTACTTGGTCGTTTAAGGGTTAAACGTTTTGAAACCAGCAAGATAACGCGTTTGGTAGTTTGTAAAAAAAAATTTCCATTTAGTAACCCCGAATGCTTAAAGTACGTTTACATATAAATATATATTCTCAATTAAAGGGAGGGATGCATTTTGTATGGATAATCACGTACTGTTAGGTTGCAAACAGAGTGGAAGCGAAGCCAAAGACGAAGATGAAGACGAAGCCGAAGACGAATTGCTTGCGTTGCGAGTGTACATAGTGGAAGATGAATGATATGAAGATTTGTTTCTAAAAAAAACCCTTTTTTTAGATAAAATCAAAAGAAAATAAAGAAGAAACAGCAATTCATGAAATAATTTGTATAGGACAACTTTTGGAGAATTTCGCCACTTATATTATGTGTTACGGCAAGACGGACAGACATTTTTCGAATATACAAGAATGCCAATTAATACGTTTGATTACATTTTGCCAAAAATTTAGCCAATTTCTTAAAAAACGCGTTTTTTCACAATTGCAAACAGTTAAATAAATTGTAAACAACTCATCACAGCAAGCGATTCGTCTTTGGAAACAGTACCGCACTGTTTCAAGCTGACCGCTTGCGCAACGTCTTCATCTTCGTCTCCGTCTTTGCTTGCACTGTGATCACTTTCATATGTTTACTACTGCACTGTTTTTCGTCTTCGGTTTCGTCTTCATCTTCGTCTTCGGTTTCGCTTCCACTCTGTTTGCAACCTTAGGCGATTTATAGCAAGCTGCACCAAAAAGTATTCAGCGGAACATATCGAACTAAATCGCGCTGAACTAAATACCGCAGCCACACACTTAGCATAAGGGTGGTCTATACTTACTAGGTATGTTTAATGTGACCAACCGTACTTCTTTCGGAAGTACAGTACTTCTTTTCTCGCTCTTGTACTTCGTACTTCGAAGTACAGTCAAATGTACTTCTTTGCGATATTTTGTAACCAGTTAGCGACAATTTTCGGATCGCTATCGCACAAACATTTATATCATGCGTCAAAAAGTGCGATAGCGATTCGAAAATTGTCGCTAACTGGTTACAGAATCTCCCCCCCCCAGGTCCTGTACTTCTCCGATCTTCTGGGCGATCGTCACTTGGTCTGGGCGATAAATTCGTTCAAAACATTCAAGTCGCCGGGGACCGATGACATCATACCTGCGCAGCTGCAAGGCGCTCTGAAGGTGTCGTGCAATTGGTTGGATTTTATTTATGCGAACTGCGTGAGGACCGGGTACATCCCCAAGGCTTGGAGGGTAGTCAGTGTTGCGTTCATCTCGAAAGCCGGAAAAGGCTCTCATGTTTCCCCCAGGGATTTAGTCTCTTCGTTTTTGCTAAAAACTCTTGAGAGACTGATCGACCTGTACATAAGAAACGCGATTCCCCGAGACTGTCTTTCAAGAGCTCAATATGCTTATTGCACACAGAGGTAAAGTGGTCAGATGAAGTCTTCACGCATGAAGATTATGCAGTAGGGGCCTTCTTCGATATCGAGAGGGCCTTCAACAATCGCAGTCCAGAGGCCATAGTCAAGTATATTCATAATCTGGGGGTTGAAACCAACCTAATAAGGCTTATCTACAGCTTACTTCGTGACAGAACTGTCGCAGCGAAGTGGGGGAGCGTCTGCACTCAATGCAGAGTCAATAAGAGCACTCCACAAGGTGGTGTTCTCGCTCCCCTGCTCTGGATTGCGATTGTAAACGATCTTCTAGAGGAACTGGGAAAAGTGGGTTGTCGGGTGATCGCCTATGTAGGTGATGTGGAATTTTGGTTAAGGGCCGATTTCTATACACTCTTTTTGATCTGGCTCAAGGTTACCTGAAACAGGTAATCAACGGCGGCTGTCGTGGAAGCCTAACATTGAGGAAAGGGTAGGAAAGATGTCGGTTGCCTTATACTGATCTAGGGGAGCTATCGGTAAAAGGTGGGGTCTCTCGCCCAAGTTAATTCATTAGCTCTAGGAAACCAGATTTAAGCCTATACGTATTGTCTGGTGGAACTCAATAGAGAAGGCTGCACTTGTAAAACAGGAATTAGCGGAGCATTAGGAACCACACCTACACTGGCGCTTAACATATGTACATATGGTGAACATAGCGCCCGCGGATATTGCAGACAGAATTATCGCAGCACGAACTGCTATTAGGCTAAGGGAAACCGGGCCCTTTTGTGCCATAAAAAAAGGAAAAGAAGACGTTTCTCTGCCGCAGCAAATGTTTTTATAGGACACTTTTAAACACGTTACCTATCAAGGGCTAGTTATGGTGAGACTTCCAAGAGGAAGATGATATGTTGATACGGATGCCAAGTGCGTAAGGGCGCTCTGTCGGTGGGTAATTGAGCCATGCAACTTCAGAAAATCTCTGTGAATGGACTTCCTTTATAGCGTTTATTGGCTTTTAAGAAAGTCTAGATTGCAAATTGCTTCTATGATGCTCAATATTCTGTATCATCTCCCGTTGCTTAACATCAAAGTGCCATTCAAGACGATCAATATTAAATACAATATAAAATGAGTATTATATTGCAATAACAAAAAAAACATCGAATGCCGGCCTGACTTCAAACGACTGCGCCCATTTCAAATAGGAATATCGCCAGCATACGACTGGCATTCCAGAGGAATGAAAGAAACAAACACACATACTCTTACATATGGCTACAAAACTGCGATGGATGGCAAAACACAACTACTACAGTGTAGTAAGGATACCCAGAATACACACACACACGCACGCTCGGAAGTTAGACGAGCTGAGAGTGGACACTAAGTGGGTGTGGGTGCTCAGGATGGCTCGACTTTCGTAGCACAAAAGTTTTTGTTGGCAGCGATGTAGTGTTTTTTACGTTTTATTTATTTTCCTTAACAAATTTTCTCCTGCTTTTCCACGTATTTGTTTCACTGCGCTAACATTGCTGGGCTCTTCCACTTTAGCAACGTCCTCCGCAGCGCTTCGTACAAACTTTCTGCTGGCTCCTAGTCTAAATATTTGTATGCATATATGTATGTATGTAGGTGTGTGGCTGTGGCAACAATGTCTGTCTGCTTGTGTGCTGAGTCAGTGCCCCAAACATCCTTCAACGTTTACTCCTTACACGCTATTCGTAAGGGTTTTTGGCACTTTGTTTGCCAGTGTAGCGCAGCAGACGGTTGCCACGAAACCAGAAACCAACCCAAGCAGTCATCCAGCCAGCCATCCAGCCAGCAGCCCCAGAATGGTACAGACGCAGCGCTCTCAGTCGTGGACGTTGTTCTTTGCAGAGTAGGTATTCCCTATTTACTTCCGCAGCGACAGCGAACATCGGCAGCGGAGTAGGACAGCTGCGGAAGTAACTTAACTTTTTTAGTTTTTGTTGATTTTTCTCTAGTTATATTGCCAACTTGGCTTATTCCAGCGAAATTCTCTAGAAGTTTCCTGCAGCGAGATATGGGGGCATGGCTTTTCCACGTGGCGCGGAACAGGAGAAAAATATAAAATAATATAAATAAAAAAATTTTAGGGAAAATTAGATGAGTACAACAGCAAGCGGAAGTCCTGTAGGATAATCATGCTGCGCGAGAGCAGCAGCGCGTGAGAGAGAGCAACAGTATGAGAGCACGCGTCGATGGAATACGAAAAATACTAAACTATTTCGAGTGAAAATGTTGAGAAGAATAATTAAGGCAGCATGTGGGAAGTAAAAGGTGCCATAAGCTCATTTTGAAATGTAACGACGTCATAGCTGCTGACGTTTTCGTCACTTTTCGTCGCAATATGGCAGTGACAACGACAGCCACAAGGACGGACAGTAACAGCACTTATGCCATGATGATAGACAGAGCAAAAATAAAAATAAAAATGCCAGCAACATCAACAAGAAATTCATCAAAAAAATTGTAATAATGATTTTGGTGGCACGAAATGTTGTTGCGGAGGTATGCCTGCGACACTCGATACTCGCTGTAGCCAAAAAAGGCAGGCAGCTAGTCAGACACTTGGCCAATTCGCCACATTTGGCAGCTAGTTGTAAGTGAGTAAGTGCCGCCAGTTATGTATGTATGTATGTACATATTGTGTGCCTTACTCATATTTGGTGGCAAGTGAGTGGCAGTCTTGACGGACGAGTGAAAATGTGTGACGGCGTGCGGCAGCAACAGCAACAGCACGTGCATCTTGTTGGCTCGCTGGCAGGCAGCATGCTGCTCGGCCGCAACAATGTGGAAATGAAACATGCGAGGTAGAGCGGAAATGAAATGGAAATATGTACTCGCAGGCAAGTGGCATGCGGCATGTGGCAAGTGGCATGCTGTAGCCGGCTTTTTGTTGAAAGTGGAGCAAAACAAAATTGAAAAATATGTGCGACGAGCTGCGAGAGTAGGGGCTAGAAATGTATGTAATGAAGAAAATAGTTCTATCTAACGTATTGAAAAGAAAATTAAAAAAAGCAATTGAAAATTGTTGTTTGAAAATTGAATGAGCGGATTCGAATGATGATTAAATTTATCAAAAATGCATGTTAAAAGAAAAATTAAGCGAAGTCTTATTTTTTTATGAAATATAAAAAGAAAATTAAAAAATAAAAAAGCGATGGAACCAAGACATAAAAATTAAAAATTTAATCAAAACCCAAATTTTGTAATCAAAAATAACCTTATTAAAGTTCAATTAAAGAAACCAATAAATATAAAA